GGCTTGTTTTACAGTTACTCGTATGACTTTCATTTTGTTGATTTTATTTATTTAGGCGCAAGGAAAAATTCCTAGGAGCTGCTTTTTCAGGTACCTTTCTATATCAATATGAAATACTATTTTATATTCTAAATTACATGTGAAAGAGGACCTTGCATTCAAAAAGCAAGGTCACTTGTTAAGTATCGCCCTCCTTACCCTCGCCGAAACACTGAATAAAAGTTTTAAGAAATCACCATTGGGGGTAAAATTAGAGGATGTCCTCACCTTTCTCCCAGGTTCTGTCCATAGTGCTTAGGTGAGGCTGACATCATCCTTCTGCCTAGAGAGATGTGGGGAATGTAGAGTAGCAATATAAACAAGCGGGGGAAAAAGGAGTTTCGCAGTAATTGACAGTTGTATAGACTAGTCTCCTGGGTTTCAGAAGTTATATTCAAACAAATGTATCCCCTAAGCAAAGAAATCCCACATAAGGAGCTGTCTAAAGTACATGTAACACAGTAGGTATGCAGTGTATCAAAAGATCGTATTTTAATTAACATAGAAAAAGTACAAAAAGCTAAATCACCTATTACAAGACATTTAAAAATCTTAAAAAGACAAGGGCTACCCTTAAATGACCCAAGTAATGGAAAAGACAGTAGGGTTAATGGTCGAATAACCACCAAGGGTGGCAGGCATTCACTGATATAGGCAAATGTGCTGTGTAGAAAAAACAGATACAAATGTACCAAAAAATCATCAGGATTACTCACTTCATATGTGGCCAAAAAATTAGCAGTCCATATGGAGTTCCGTGTTTGATGTGGATGAGATGTTTCAATGGAACATATTAGGGCTGGTAATGATTAAAATTTTCCTGTTCGATTAATCGAAATTTTTTTTAATCGATTAATTATAACGCACATACAGATCCAACTACATTGGCCTATACACATACAGCACAGCAATTAAGTAATAAAATGAACTAGGATCACACTAATCCAGCACGTTATTAATCTCATGTGCCCCACTCAATATGGCCGCCGCTTGAGTGGGGCAACTCAGAATAATAACGTGCTGGATTAGTGTGATCCTAGTTCATTTTATTACTTAATTAATTGCTGTGCTGTATGTGTATAGGTCAATGCCAGGGATCCCAACGTGAAATAAGCCATTTCAGGGAGGTGTCCCTCTCATTTCAGGGAGGTGCCCTCTCCCCCCCCCCCCTTTCCGGGGGGGGGGCTGGGG